TATGACTTTCTTTGGTGTGCCTCACAGATACCAAAGGAATAGTTTATAGTAGATATTACCTAGGCATTGAATTGGCTTTTATCATTCTAAAGAATTAGGTTCTTATTGATGGGCAAAAAGAATTGAAAGGCTGTACTCAATGTCTATATTGCAAACCATAACACCCAAAAGGAGAGAGAGAGCGAGAGCAAAAGGGAATGCCCTGCCACGGAGGTGGGGTGGGGTGGGGGGGATAGTTTGGGAGTGGTGGGAGGGATACTGGGATCATTGGTGGTAGAGAATGGGCACTGGTGGAGGGATGGGTACTCGATCATTGCATGACTGAAACATTAGCACGGAAGTTTATAAGTCTGTAACTGTACCTCACGGTGATTCATTTAAAAATGAAAATAAACAAACAAACAAACAAAAAATTGAAAGGCTGTATAATATAAACCCTAATTTATTCTTAGCTTTTACCACATAATTTAAAAAAATATTTTTTATTTAAAGACCACTGATTTATAAAGTTATTTGATAGTTGAGTTTTAGGCATATGACATTTCAACACCAGTCCCATCACCAGCGTCAACTTCCCTTAATCACATAGTTTTGGGAGGCTCTCATAAACAGTGCTCGGGGGATCTGGGGAAAGTCCCAACAGTACTTGGCCAACAGGATTGGTTTGTTCAGCACTGATGTCTGAGAACGCTTTTCTGCTTGGGCCCAGTGATGCTGGGACTAAGGGCATCATGGTACTGGGACTCTGAGTCAGGTCCCTGCACCTACAAAACATCCCCTCCCCCAGCGGTCTAACTCGTTCCGTCACGGTTCTTTCATTGGGTCCAGTAGACAGAGTTGGAGACTCATAGAAAAATAGGATTCATTCTAAAATGCAGATAGTTCATATGCGTGTGTTTCTACACACCACACACACACACACACACACACACACGAGTCAGTGACATACCTGCTGTGGCTGGTCCCCTTCCTACTCCTGGGTCATGCCTTCTCCGTCCCTGTAGCCATGAAAACTTGGTGTGAGTTGAAGGGCACCTTCTAAGAGATGATGGCATGCTGGTTCCAGTCCAGCCCTGCCGTTTCCTCTCTGATTGTCATTCCTTCTATTTTGTTTTTGTTTGCTTGTTTGTTGTGGTTTGCGTAGGGGACATGCCAGTGCTGCTCAGGGTTTCCTTCTGGCTCTGCATCTGGGATCACTCTTGGTGGTGCTCTAGGCATCATGCAGGAGGTTACACCTGGGTCACCCACGTGTTTCCTAGTGTCTTCACGTACAAATCCAGAAGGTGAGGGTCAGGGCACCCGGGACTCCAAGCTCTAAGTCTTCTTGGCTGTGTGGTCTGGGAGGCCTCAGCAGCTGGTCAGTTGAATGACCTTCAGAAGGATCACGGAGGACGGATGCTCACAGCAGCCGGCTCCAAACACTCAAATAGAGTCTGTGCCTTTGGCTGCCTCTCGGAGCTACCAGCCAAGCCAGAGATGAAGCTGGCTGGAGATGCAGATGGGTGTGTTGGGAAGGCCAGTGTCATCTCCAACGGTATCTGGGAAATGCCCGTGTCCCCAGGAAGAGGTCATGGACACCCTCAACTCATGGTGCGGTATGGAGCCAGGCAAGTCAGGGTTTGAATCTGAACCACACCCCCAGCTGAGTCGTGTGTGACCGTAAAGAAGCCCTCAGGTTAAGCGGCAGCATCTACCTGGTGGACGGGAGGAGGGATGCTGGGGCTATTGAAGGAGAACGCACGGTCAGACCCACACAGCAGAGGCTTCCCGCGAGAGATCTGCTTCCTCAGTCTTGGCCCGTGTTTACGAGTCTCTGGGATGCTTCAGGGGACGCTTCTGCTCTCTGCAATGAGTTTGTTCTTGGGGGGGGGGGGATGAGTCCATGTGGAGCCAATTCTAGAGACTGAGCAGCAGGCTCGAGGGACCTCTGGGGTCTCTGGCGTCTCTGGGCACAGGTGATGCTGTGAGCAGAGTCAGCACAGCTGCCCATGGTGGCCGGGACGGGCTCAGCCCATCAAGCCTCAGACGGGGACTTAAGCTGACATCTCTTTCAGGGGCTCTTCCATCTCTCTGGCCCCATCTCTGCGGTGCCCCCGGCTTCTGCCCCTTGCAGAGAGGGATGGCACAGGTGGCTGGCAGAGGTGGCTTTCCTTGTAGGGACAGGACTGGCCCAAGCCCTGCCACTCAGGGTGGCTCCAGCCCAGTCCCAGAGCCCCAGGGCTTAGAGCCCAGCTCAGCCCTGGATTGATTTTTTTTCTTCCTGCTCCCTCCCTTTCTCCCTTCCTGAAACACGTGAGATACCAGTTACCAAGTTGTTTATGATTGGTTTCATGCTGGACCGCGTTCCAACACTCGGCCTCTCACCAGTGTACATTTCCCACCATCTGTGTCCTCAGTTTCCCTCCTGCCCACTTTCCCCAGCCCGCCTCTATGGCAGCCACTCCCCTCCTCCCTCTCTCTCTCTGTCTCTCTCTCTCTTTCTCTCTGTCTCTATTTCAGTCTCTCTTTCTCTTTGTCTCTGTGTCTCTGTGTTCCTGTCTGTCTCTGTCTCTCTCTGTCTCTCTTTCTCTGTTTCTCTCTGTGTCTCTGTCTGTCTCTGTCTCTCTGTCTCTGTCTCTCTCTGTGTCTTTCTGTCTCTGTCTCTCTGTCTCCCTCCGCCCCACCCCTTTCTGCTTTGCAGTACAGGCACTGGCAGGTTACCATGTAAATCCCTTTACCCCCCCTTCTGCACTCAGTTCTGTCCAGAGGGATGCTACCCTGGTCACTGGGGTCCGGTCTCCGTCCTAACTCCCCTGTTTTCTGCCGAACCCCCAGCGGCGCCCCGTCCTCCTGGCCTCTTTCCTACCACGCTTGTCAGCCCCGAGCGCGTTTTGGAGAGTTGGGTTCCAAGTCCCTCCAGCTGCCCCTTCCTCCATCCTTGATCCCCACAGCGCACCCCCAGGCGCTGCCGGAAAAGTGGGATCAAGTTGCCCCCCACCCCCCTCGGGGGGCGCATTCTTTCCATCCCCCCCCCCACACACACACACAGTGCACCTGGTGAAAAAAAAATAAAGGAAGGCACATGCCCGAGCTGGGGGGCGTGCACAGCAGCTCGCGTTGCAGAGGGGCGCGGGGCACGTGACTCGAGTAACTGATCCCGCGGTCCCCCACCCCCCCCTCGGGGCGCTGACGTCACGGAAAAGCCCTGGCGCGGCCCGCGGGACGCTATAAACGGGCGGCGGCGGGCGCGCGGGGCAGGGCGCAGCTGCACGGACGGAGACCCGACACCCTCCCGACACCCTCCCGACACCCTCCCGACACCCCACGGACACCCACCCGACACCCACCCCAGCCAGGTGAGCGGGGCGCGCGGGGAGGGTCGCGCGATTCGGGGTGCGCCTGGGCCGGGGTGGGCGTTCCCGGCGCGCGCAACTTTCCAAGAGGCGCGCGGAGTCCCCGCTGGCTCGCGCAGCAGCGCTGCGCCCCGGAGCTGGGGCGGGGGATGGATGTTTAGGGGTTCGGGGGTGCCTTTCTCAGCAGCCCGGGTCCCCGGCCCGGTCTACAGGGGGGTTTTCGCAGGGCGGCTCTCGGAAACGCCGCCTGTCCTGTCCGCTGGCCCCTGGGTACCAGGAAGAGCATCTCCAGCCCCGCGCCCTGGGCAGCGCCGCCGGGATGCCGGGTGTAGAGTGTGGGTGCAGGAGGGGGTGTCCGTGCGCTTCCCGGTGCCCAGTGAGTGGCACTTGCTGAGTGCAGTGATCCGCGTCCACTTGGTCCCCAGCAGCCCGGCGGGACAGACCTCCCCGGGGTGAAGGGGCAGGTGTGCCCGAGTCGTGCAACGCCCCTTGGGGGGGTGACCTGTGTGTCGCCTTCTCTTGGCTTCGGGAGGGTGGACATCGGGCTCGAGTGAAACCCGCATCTCCGAGTGGACGTGGGTGGGTCAAAGTGGAAGCGTTTTTCTTTGCCCCTGTGGAGAGGTCTGATGGGGACCCGCTCATTTCCCTGCCCGAGGGAGGAGGCACGGGGCTGGGAAATTGTCCATGTGGGATTATAACTTCTCCTTGGGCAAGAGGGTACCCCCCGGGGTGTAAACCTCAAACGGAAATTCTCCACCTCCCCCACTCCCCCCCCACCACCCCACCACCCCCCACCCCCACCCCCAAATAATAGCTTTCCCGGGCAGTTGGAGAGCCCCAAGGCAACTTTACTAAACATGGAAGTCCCACTAAGTGCCTGTCCAGCTCCGCGGTCAGTGATGTCATTGCCACGTGAGGCCCCAGCGCCTGCGGGCTGCTGGTGCGGGTCCGGAGCCAAGTTTAGATAAGACCCGCTGGGCAGGCCAGCCGGGCCCCAGCTGTGCGGACTTGTTGCTTTTTAAACCGTCTCTGGGGGGAGGGGCTGTGAGTCCCTTCTGGCGGGTCCCCCGTGCCAGGGGTGAGAGGGGATCATCCCCAGGGCCTTTGCTTGGAGGATGGAGGAAGCCTGTGGACAGTGGGTGATGCTGAAGGTACCTGCTTCAGTGCCTCCTGCAGATGACAGTCAGCTGGGGAGTTGCTACAGCCTGTGTGTGTGTGTGTGTGTGTGTGTGTGTGTGTGTGTGTGTGTGTGTGCGCGTGCGCGCGCGCGCGCGTGTGTGCACATGTGCGCGCTCCCATATAAAAGTAGCTTGGGGGCTGTTTCACTGCTGTTCTTTTTTCTTCCTGGCTGAGGGGGTTTGGACCCCACTTGAGGTGCCCTGGGGCTTGCTCCTGGCTCAGTGCTCTGCTCTTCCTCCCTGGTGACGGTGGGGGACTCCCCGAGGCAGTTCTCCAGATTGAGCTGGAGCCAGCGGGGCGCAAGGCAACCAACCCCAGGCTCTCTGTCTGCAGCCCTCCCTCTCCAGGGTTCACTCTGTTAGGGCCGCGTGGGTGTCACCCCCTCTAATACAGCATCCCCGGAGCGGTGTCCCAGCCGGCTCTTACTGGCTGACACACCCGGGTTGCTTCATTCCCTTCCCTCCCCGCCCCCTCCACCAGGACCAGGCGATGACGCTGAACAATGTCACCCTGCGCCAGGGCTCCGTGGGCCTGCAATCACAGCAGCAGCGCTGGAGCATCCCGGCCGACCCCCGGCACCTGATGGTCCAGCGGGAGCCGCACGCGCCCGGCCAGCGCAGCCGCCCCCCGGCCGCCCCCGACGAGCACTGCCGCCGGAGCTGGTCCTCCGACTCCACCGACTCGGTCATCTCGTCCGAGTCCGGGAGCGCCTACTACCGGGTGGTGCTCATAGGGGAGCAGGGCGTGGGCAAGTCCACGCTGGCCAACATCTTCGCGGGCGGGCACGACAGCATGGACAGCGACTGCGAGGTGCTGGGAGGTGAGTGGGGGCGGGGCGGGGGGGGCGCTCAGAGGGTCCTTGGCACCAGCCTCGGGCGCCGAGCCCTCCCTGACCCAGGAGTCTCTCTGCACGAGAGTGTGACCATGCTCAAGGCTGGAACCTGAACCACCACTCAGTGCCAGCTCTCAGGACCTCAGGAAGGTTGACCCTGCCTGGCACACCGCCAGCCCGGGTTCCCGCCCTGCCAGGTGGCATCCTGGGCGCAGAGCCGGCAACCCGAGCATCGCCGAGTGTCATCCCCAAACTACGAAAGTGAAAACTAAATAAAACAACCCACACCCCAGGTGAATGTTAGGCTGGTCCTTTCAAGCGCTCCTTGCGGACAGCCCTGTCCCCGTGCTTATTCTGAAAACCTAACTCCTCCGGAAAATGGCTCGGACCAATAAACACCCCGATGTTGGCACTGCAGTTGGTGCTAACGAAGCCACGGCCAAGTGTGAGCCGTGAGGGCTACAGGCTGGGATCAGTGTGTTGATTTTTGGTTTCCACTGATCCTAGAGTCCCTTGAGGGTATACAATCAGTTCAAAATCTGTATCTTAAATAGTATACTATATGTATATTCAAGTTTGATGTATAATAGTGATAGTAAGTGGACTTGTATGATCTTATGGTTTTTCATGACACTTTCTCCCCAAACACACACAGTCTTATTTGCACTAGCACTGTAGCACTGTCCTCCCGTTGTTCATCAGTTTGCTCGAGCGGGCCCAATAGCGTCTCCATTGTGAGTCTTGTTGTTACTGCGTTTGGCATATTGAATACGTCACGGGTAGCTTGCCAGACTTTGCCGTGCGGTAGCTTGCCCACTGAACCATACTCTCGGTAGCTTGCCGGGCTTTCTGAGAGGGGCGAAGGAATCAAACTCGGGTCGGCCAGGTCGGCCGTGTGCAAGGCAAACGCCCTACCCGCTGTGCTATCTTTTTTTGTTTGTTTGTTTTTTATGGGCAATGCTCAGAGGCTACTCCTGGCTCTGCACTCAGGAATTACTCCTGGTGGTACTCAGGGGACCATATAGGATGCTGGGATTCGAACCCGGGTTGGCCACCTGCAAGGCAAACACCCTCCCTGCTGTGCTATCACTCCAGCCTTTTATTTAAAGTTTTAATAGACCGGTTTAAGTCTTGCCTACTTCCAAAACTTCTTGGAGAATGGAGATACAATCTTGAAAAGAGCATCTGTTTCTAAGCAGATGTAAACCGTGCCACTCTCTTCTAGGAAGTGACGCAGGGATGCTGATAGCTAATGGTATTCACTCAGTGCCTCTTGGCCGTGGCTTCTGTCTGGGATCACTGCGTGGTTGCTTACCTAAGTGCCTGGGCTGTTCCGACTCATCTCTGAGTCACGGGGCTGGAGCAGGAAGATGGTTGTGGTGACTCAATGGTGCCCCCACACCTGGGCTCTGGGATGCGCTACCCCCCTCTCTGCCTCAGCCTCTTTCAGATAAGGCTCACTCCTGTGCCCCTCCAATGTCAGGGAGTTCTCTGCTTCAGGGGGCACTTCCAGCACTGAGCTATAAATGATGACTCATGGATGTATCATCAATTTTTCTTCTTCTGAAAGGAGAAACGAGGTCAGGGTGGTGTCATTGGCTCTTTTCTTTGTGAAGACTGGGAGAAGAGCGGGGAGGAACTAGCATTTGGAATGAGTATTTACTGTGCAAGAGGCAATTTTTCAGTGCCTTTTTATTTTTTAATTCAGTTTCACTTCTGCTTTGGGGGTATACCTGATGATGCTCAGGGCTTAATGCTGGCAGGGGACCACATGGGATGCTGAGGATTGAACCAAGTTGGCTGCCTGCAACATAATTTCAGCCTGCTGTACTGTCACTCTGGCCCCCCAGTGCCTCTTTATTTGTTGCTGTTTGGTAATAAATTCCTGTGATTTTATTGCTACACTGAGTGGGTTTCTACTGTCACTAGTGAGGCACCTGGGTCCTGGGACCATTCAGTCCCTCGTCAGGACCCTGCTTTTGGGGTGCTAGGAACTAAGGGCAACTGAGTCAAGAAATCAGATGCCCAGGAGTAAATATTATTCGGAGTCAATCAACTCCCAAGTTACAAAGCATAATAGTAACTGTCTTCCTGTGTCCATGCAGAAAGGACATTGCTTACAATACAAGTTCAGTGTCCTTAGATGGGTGTGACCCGATAAACCTAAGCTACCTGAGGAAGGAACAGAACTCTAGATTTTATTTTTACGTTTATAAATTTAAAAATCATCCTTCCATTAATGGGGAACCTGCAGTGCAGAGGATTGAGTCCCGCCCTCCTGCGTGCAAACTATATTTGGGCTATCCCCTTGAACTATCTACCTCCTTTTTTGAGGGGTTAGGGGGCCACACCCAGCAGTGCTGAGGGCTTTCTTTTGGCTCTGTGCTCTGGGATTACTCCTGGTGGGGTTCAGAGGACCCTACAGGGAGCCAGGGTTGGAACCAGGATTGGCTGTATCCAATGTGCAAGGCAAGTGCTCTGCCCACTGAACCATCTCTGTGGCCCCCATAAACATATATTTTAAAGTCTATTATCCATTTTCTTTTCAGTCCTTCCCTTTTGAAACACAACAGGAAGCAAAACACCTCCACTAAAGTTTTCCTTATGTCTGTCACCAAAGTTCTTTTGTTTTGTTTTTGAGCCGTGCCCTATGGTACTCAGGAGTGATTCCTGGGTGGGTGCTCAGGGGACCAGGTAGTGCCGGGAATTGAACCTGGACCTTCTACAATCAAAGCATGTGATCCAACCCCCTACACTCTCTTTCCCACTCATCTCAGGAATTCTGGCATCCCTTCCTAAATTATTCATCAATTTTACCCTGCACTGCGTTTTAGGCACCTCAAGGGTCTATGGACATCACTGTGCACCCCAGAGTTTGGCAGTAGTTCAAGGCTAAGTACTAACGTTTAGACTAAAAATAGAGGCTGTGGGGTACAGCTGTGGGCTTAAGCACATTTGGATGTGAATCCTGAGTGTGCAAACAACCGGCTTTTTGACCTGGGAAAGTAATTTAATTTCATAAGCCTCCATTTCTTCACCTATAAAATAAGGCCATCAATATGAAAATTGCTGAATTTTAAATAAACCTTAGCAAATTACAAATGGAAAATACTTGGTACATTGCCTGGGCACAGAGCTGCAAGTCACCCCTACGCATTGCAGGCCTTCCCTTCCCTTCCCTTCCCTTCCCTTCCCTTCCCTTCCCTTCCCTTCCCTTCCCTTCCCTTCCCTTCCCTTCCCTTCCCTTCTTCCATTCCCTTCCCTTCTTCCCTTCCCTTCCTTTCCCTTCCCTTCTTCCCTTCCCTTCCCTTCCCTTCCCTTCCCTTCCCTTCCCTTCCCTTCCCTTCCCTTCCCTTCTTCCCTTCCCTTCCCTTCCCTTCCCTTCCCTTCCCTTCCCTTCCCTTCCCTTCCCTTCTTCCCTTCCCTTCCCTTGCCTTCTTCCCTTCCCTTCTTCCCTTCCCTTCCCTTCCCTTCCCTTCCCTTCCCTTCCCTTCCCCTCCCCTCCCCTCCCCTCCCCTCCCCTCCCCTTCCCTTCCCTTCCCTTCCCTTCCGTTCCCTTCCCTTCCCTTCTTCCCTTCCCTTCCCTTTCCTTCCCTTCCCTTCCCTTCCCTTCCCTTCCCTTCCCTTCCCTTCCCCTCCCCTCCCCTCCCCTCCCCTCCCCTCCCCTCCCTTCCCTTCCCTTCCCTTCCGTTCCCTTCCCTTCCCTTCTTCCCTTCCCTTCCCTTCCCTTCCCTTCCCTTCCCTTCCCTTCCCTCCCCTCCCCTCCCCTCCCCTCCGCTCCCCTCCCCTCCCCTCCCCTTCCCTCCCCTCCCCTCCCCTTCCCTTCCCTTCCCCTTCCCTTCCCTTCCCTTCCCTTCCCAAAAATACAGTTGATTACCTCACACTGTGGGGTATAGTTCTGGCTGTGGCACTTTTGCATGCCTGGGCTGAGCTGACTGTCACAGCCATCCCACCAGACCAAGTATCATTGGGAATAGTCCATAGGCCCCCAGTCACTGTCAGGAGGAGATCCCTAAATATGTTAATTTGAGTGGAGTGATAATCTACCAGCAGGGTAACATGCCTGAGATATAGAGTGGTAAGACCGAATCCTGCTTGGAATTTGGAAGGGCAGTCTTCTATATTTGGAAAACCTTTGTTTAATGGGGTTGGAGGCAGAGGAAGATCACAGACAGAGTTTTTAATGAGAAGCTCTACTAGAAGATACACTGCATGTATCTGAATACTTAATTTTCACCATCTAGGCTCACATCCGTTTTCTATAGCTAACTTTCGAAATCTCGAGTTGGCTTTATGTTTCTCAGTGGAAGGGTTTTCTAAGACATGCTCTTCCATTGTTTTTTTTTTCCAGGCTTGACCATAGGAAAGAAACACTTATACAATATTCTTTCATTTGTCCTGAGACAGATGGGTGGTGATGTAATGATAGCACAATAATCGTGACTTTGTACACGTCCGTAGCATTTGTTCCTCCATTCATTTATTCCTAAACTGTCACTGAAATCATGTGATCCTACTATAGGATCGAACCACATCATGGATTTGGTGAGGCACAAAGGGAGTATGCGAAAGATCACAGGTACCAACGGTGTCCAGTGGAGATCATATATAGGCCAACGGGAAATCAAAATAGAACATGAGAAGTAGGGTGAACATGCTACTGTGAAAAATCAGAAAGGATTGATGGAAGAGGTTGGTCTCTGAGCTGAGCCCTGAGGACAGCTGGGATGGGACGTCTGAGATGGGTAAGAAGGGGGTGCTGTCCTCAGGAGCAAGGGAGACACAATTGCATTGCCACCCAGGCTGGGAGTTTCCATCCCAGCTCTGACACCAGCTTGGCTGGATGTTCTTGATCAAGATTCTTGAGCATCCTGAGTGTCCTGATGAGTGAAATAAGGGAAAAACATACTTTGGAGGACATTGGAGAAATAAAGCAGATAACATATTAAGCATGAAGGGCAGTGCTTGGCACATGGTTATTTTGAGCTGATACTGATCTTCCGTTTCCCTTCCCTGGGTTTAGCTTCCAAAATTGGCCCTTTCATCGCCTGTGGTCCTTTCCACCTGGACTGCCTGTGGCCGGGGCACTGTGCCAGATGTAGAGGAGACAGAAGCCTCTAGAAGGGAGGAAGTTTTGGTGGGTTTTGGTTTTTTTTTGCAGGGGGTCACACCTAGTGATACACAGGGCTTAGTCCTGGCTCATGCACTCAGGAATCACTCCTGGAGGTGCTCAGGGGACCATATGTATGCTGGGAATCCAACCCAGGTCAGCCGCATGCAAGGCAAATGCCCTACCTGCTGTGCTATCCTCCAGCCCCAAGAAGGAAGTTTTAATAAGTAAATAAATAAATAAATAAATAAAGCAGGAGTTTCTTCCAGGTTTTCTCAGGATCCTTTTCACTCTGCAAATTGAAAGCAGTAGAAAATGTTTTGGAGAAAGGAGGCAGGAGCCTAAGAACTTTGGAGGGTGGCATGTGAAAGAATTCCTCTGCAGGTTCCACCAGTGCTAAAGCCAGTGAAGGCGGGGCTCCAAGCACTGTGAGGGTCTCGGAGGAATGTTAGGGGAAATGGAGTGACCATCATCACCTGTAACCCCCTTCCCACCCCATCAGGGGCCTCTCTTTCATGCTGTAGGAGTAAAGCCCCGCTCCTCACCTCCACTCATTTGGAATATATCATGTGTCTTCTGTTTGAACCCCTGGAGATTCAAGTGAGTCCCTTGTAGCTGCTTTTGGATGGTAGGTGAGGGGTGAGCAAGTCATTGTTTTGGTGAGTTTTGGAGGAGAGAAACACTCGGTGGCAGGCAGCCCTCCCCTCCCCGCATCTGTGTGGCTGGCTGTGATGATGCCCTGGGGTTGTATAAATGTGCTTGCTCGGTTCTGAGATTCTTACTCTCCAGGAAACCACAAGTGCAGCTCCCTTTCAGGTATATTGTGGTTAGAAATCCCGGCTAGCAGAGTAAGCATTTCCTCCAAGGAAACACTTAGCGCTGGTTACAGAATGGGGTATCCCCCAAGGAAATGTTTACTATTGATTACAGAATGGGGTATCCCCCCAAGGAAATGTTTATTATTGATTACAGAATGCGGTATCCCCCCAAAAAATGTTTATTATTGATCACATAATAGAGTATCACCCAAGGAAATACTTAGCATCAATTGCAGAATGGGGTATTTGCCCCAAGGAAATGCTTACCCTTGATTATAGACTCAGCCCTGCAGGAGCTAGGAAACTGGCCTTCTTTATTAACTTTCAGGTCATTTGTCTACAGTGTCCTTCCAGTCCCTTGCTTGAGTCTGCTTCCTAGAAGAAGAAACACAAAGCCAGAGGCATTGCCCTCCCTGTGGTAGAAAGAGAAACATTCCAGTGACCCCAGAGTAGCAGGTCAACCTGGAAATCTGCCATGGAAGGGAAGACCCCGCATTTCCCACCTGGAGAAGTGATGAAAACAGCCTGTTGACATTTTTTGATTTCTGCTCGTGCCCAGACCTGGTCAAGAACAACTCTCGCACAGCCCAAAGGCTGGAGGGCTCTTATCAATCTCACTGCGCAGGTGAAAAAACTATGCCCCGAAGATCTTAACTAAATAAATGATCCAAAGGCACATTGTTAGCCAGGAATGGAATCCACACTCAGATTTTGCTGTGCTTGCAGCTGCAGTGATATTAGTATCATTCATTCATTTGAGAAGTACCGACTGAGCATGCCCTGGTGCTGAGGATAGAGCAGGAAACTGAAAGGATTGGAATTTAAGCTTTGCCAGGAGACAATAAGGAACAGACAGGAACAAAATAAACAGGATTGTTGTGTTGCGTTAGGATGACAGTCACCACAATGAAGTAAAATAACACATGGAAGGGGAATATTTTGGGAGGGAGGTGTTGCCATTTAAAATGGCTGACGGGGGCTGAGAGATAGCACAGCGGGTAAGGCATTTGCCTTGCACGCGGCTGACCTGGGTTTGATTCCCAGCATCCCATATGGTTCCCTGAGCACCGCCAGGAGTAACTCTTGAGTGCAGAACTAGGAGTAACCCCTGTGCATCGCCAGGTGTGACCCAAAAAGCAAAAATAAATAAGTAAATAAATAAATAAATAAAATGGCTGATGGGGAGGCCTCTCTCAGGAGATAAGGGAGCGAGCGACATGGGTCTCTAAGGGAGGAGACTCCAGGAGCAAAAGAATGGCATGAGACATAATAATCGTTATTATGAAAAGTGTCTCTTTCAAATGATAAAGTTGAAAGCAGCAAGCGTCATTGAGAAAAATGGGAAAGTTTGACAACGCCATCTCTCCACGTCCTCTGTCCCTGGGTAGTGCCACCCACCCACAGAGCGTTCTGGCTAGCGGTGCTGCCATCACCCTTCACTGACCCTCAGCCCCACTCAGAGGTTGGGAGACAAGTTTCCAATACTGAGTAGTCCTGGAGGCTATGTATGGCGCTGCGTACTCAAGATGGAAAAACAAGTTTGTTTATTCCTAGATAACTCTCAGTGTGTGTGTGTGTGTGTGTGTGTGTGTGTGTGTGTGTGTGTCTTGCTGGTTTTTAAATTTTTATTTATTTATTTATTTTTAAGTTTTTATCAGCGAAACACCATGAGGTACAGTTGTAGACTTACAAATTTTTGTGCTTGCGTTTCAGTTATACACTGATCGAGTACCCATCCCTCCACCATTGCTGTTGTTTTTTAAGGAAGCAAACTTTAGTCGAACAGGAAGCAAACTTTAGTCCAACAGGGATAGTCTCGAGAATTTTTTCTTTGTTTCTCATAAGAGGAGATTTTTCTGAGCTCAGAACTCCTGAAATTGCCCCTAGCGGTTCAGTAATCGCACCACTGAAAATTGCCCAGAAAAGGCTTGTGATTTACTGGACAGTTGGTTTTATTTTTTCTCAAGGCCCTTCCACTGAATCTAAATCAAACCTGTAATGTCTTTTTATCCTCGTCAATAGGTTTCCTATGTAAAAGGTCCTAGAATGATAAAAAGAAATGCATTTTAAGTGGCAAAGTGATACACATTTCTAAGTGGTATTCTGAGGGGTCAGAGCAACAATATATTGGGCACAGCGTTTGCCTTGCACGGTCCCTGAGCACAGAGCCAGAGTAAACTCTGAGTACTCCCAGTGGTTTGCATTTTCCAAAATGAAACAAATAGATAAAAGTGGTATTCTACTTAGTATTTACTGGGAGAATGTTGTTGAAGGTGATAGGAAGATTGTTGTTTTCCATTGTGGACTGCTGAGTATTTTTATGAATTAATTGTTTATCTAATCTTAATAATGGGCTGGAGCGATAGCACAGCGGTAGGGCGTCTGCCTTGCACGCAGCCAACATGGCCGACCCGAGTTCGATTCCTCCGCCCCTCTCGGACAGCCCGGCAAGCTACCGAGAGTATTCGATATGCCAGACACAGTAACAACAAAGTCTCCAATGGAGACGTTACTGGGCCCGCTCGAGCAAATCGATGATCAACGGGAGGGCCTAATCTTTAGTTTTTTTAGCATAATTTTCAGCAAGGCCTTCATAAATGAATGGTCTCAGCCTCACCCCACTATTGTTCTTTTTCTTCTAGAAGATACATATGAGCGGACACTGATTGTTGATGGCGAAAGTGCAACAATTATACTCCTGGACATGTGGGAGAATAAGGTATGTGGGGCCTGATTCCTCAGTTGCCTGGGTCGAGGTGACCTTGTTTTTTTGGGTGTTCCAGATGAGGTGGGCTCCTATTCTTAATTAAAAAATTTCCATCTGAATGCCATCATTGCAGAATGATCTCTGATATGTAGGACTTGAAGATATACAGCAAGGCACACAACAGAGAGCCAAAGATGACACAATGGGAGAACTGACCCACACAACTGAGTCTGTGTGTTTCTGGGCAGGAGACGATGGGAGGAAGGGGTGTTGGGTTCCTTTGGGGGAGGGCAATACACTGGTGTTGGAATTCTGTCATGGGAAGCCATCAATAACAGTGTTGCAAATCACAACCAATTCAAAAGAAGTTTTTTAGAAAGGCATTTTTCTTCTGAAGTGTGAAAATGCTTTCAAGCATAGGTCATTCACAAGTGAGCTCTGTCAGAGTGCCCTTAAAATTTTTTTTACATTTGATTTAGGGAAAGAGCCAGAAACTCGGATGATAATTTTAAATGGGATAAGACCATATTTTTATGAAGTTGACACTCAATACTCAGCTTCATTTGTTTTCCAAAGATTTGGGGCATCTGAGTTTTTATGCTAGACATTTTGTGTGTTGAAACAAAAGGATTATTAATTTCATCACTCAGGAAAGGCTGATGGGAGTTTTTTAGGAAGTCAGAAAAGGCTCTTTTTTTTTTTTTGTAGACAGAGATACGAAATCCTATAGAATATGGTAATCATGTAATTCCAGCCCCCCTTTTTTTTAAAAAAAAGGAAGTCAGAAAAGGCTCTTTTTTTGGAGGGGGTGCTTTTGGGGTCACACCCTGAGATGCTCAGGGGTTACTCCTGGCTCTGCACTCAGGAGTTACTCCTGGTGGTGCTCGGGGGACCATGTGGGATGCTGGGAATTGAACCTGGGTTGGCGGCATGCAAGACAAACACCCTATCTGTTGCACTATCACTCCAGCCCCCAAAAGGGTCTTTTTTTTTGGTAGTATAGATAGAAATATGCAATTATATAGAATCCGGGAATCACGTAATTCCAGCCACCCCAGCGGCTCAGTGTGTTTGGCCAAGTGCGTGCCGGTGAAGGTATTTTAGGAGACACATATTACCACTGTGCACACTGACGCCTCATTCACCCGTCCAGCCTCAACTCGAGCTATTTTCTCCTGTTCCCAGGGGGAGAATGAGTGGCTCCAGGAGCACTGCATGCAAGTGGGTGACGCCTACCTGATCGTCTATTCCATCACCGACCGGGCGAGCTTCGAGAAGGCATCCGAGCTGCGGATCCAGCTCCGCAGGGCGCGGCAGACGGAGGACATCCCTATCATCCTGGTGGGCAATAAGAGTGACCTGGTGCGGCGCCGGGAGGTGTCTGTGTCAGGTGAGAGGTCGCTGCCTGTGCATGGTGGGACAGCCTGGGTGCTGCTCTGTTGCCCTCACACAGGGTTTCTTCCCTTTCACGGAGCCACCAGGTACTCAGTAAGAGCTTCAGGGTAGTATGCATGTCCTAAGACTCCTCCTGGGCTTTGCTACTTTATCATCTGGTTAGCCTGCAGGATACCCTCAGATTTCTTTAGGTAACAGATGATGCTTCAGGCCAGACACAGTTCAGTGGGCTGAGTGCGAGCTTTGCCCGCAGGAAACAGGGTTTGATCCCCAGCACCTCATGGTCCCTCGAGCACAGCCATCTGGGAGCAGTCCCTGAACACAGAGCTGGCACCCCCACCCCTTTTATGGGAAGCCCCCAGCCTTCTTTCTCCTTGTTCTTTGTTTTCTCCAGGGAAGTTCTAGAGAGGCCAGGGAAGACCTGCGCTTCCTTAAGCCCAATGCTAATTGTTCCTCCAACGGAAGGACATTATGAGTTGTATTTGTTTATTATCTGTTTATTTATTTATTTTTGTTTTGCTTTGTTTTGTTGGGGAAGACACACCCAGCAGTGCTCAGGGGTTACTCCTGGCTCTGCATGCAGGAATTATTCCTAGCAGTACTCAGGGGACTATTATGGGGTGCTGGGGATTCGAACCCCTCCAATTAGCAATGTGTAAGGCAAGCATTCCTCCCCGCTCTACTACTGCTCTGGCCCCACTGTGAGGGTTTGATTAAGAGTAAGAATTTAACTGTGGCCGTCTGGTTCCCTATGGTCTCTTGAAGCACTGTCCTTCAGGATTTACACCCTTTTAGCTTCATAAATTTCAGCCAAGGCTTCAGCTTGATGCTGTCACGTATTCTTTCATGCTTAGTTCAAATAATTTCTATCTGCTGAGTGGGCACACAAGTCCTCCGGGTCCTTGTGATTTTATTGGCCTAATGCCGTTTTGCTCCGTGATGCAATGGAAACATAAAATACTATGCTTCAGGCCCAGTGCAGGAGACAACCACTCCCCCAATACTTCATAAGGGAGCATGGCTAGTTTGGGATTGTTTTACTTTTAGAAAATGATTGTGTGTAGTAATAATTATTACTGTTTTTATCACCTCACTCTTTTGTTGGGAAGTTGCTTTTCAAAGAAGGTCTTGGGACAGAGCGGTATTACAGTGGGTAGAATGCTTGCGGCCAATCTGGGTTTGATCCTCAGGTGGTCATATGGTTCCCCAAGTTTATCCAGAAGTGACCCCTGAGTGCAGAGCCGTAAGCCCTGAGCACAGCAAGGTGTGCCCCCACGCAACCAATCAGCCAACTAACCTACCAAACAAAGTAGGTCTTAGGATCATTCTATAATAATCATTTTTATTTGAAGCCAAACCCTGGACATACGGTCATTGAATACAACAGAACATTTGAAATAGAAATTGTTTAGAATAGTTTATCTCCTTTGCTATGACTTTATTCTATTTATGAAATCTTCAGTTAAAAAACACATCTATTTACATAAATACTATTTGCTCATATATGTCTGTATATATACATATGCACATATATATATATATCCCCATATCCAGCACTTCTTGGGGGATACTTTCAGTACTTTCAGCTCTGTCCTTGGTGTGCCAAGTGGTACCAGGGAGCCAGGCATTGAACTGGGGGTCAGCCTCTTGCAAGGCAAGTTTCTCAACCTCTGTACTACCTCTTTGGCCAATTATTTTTTTTATACAGAGGAAAGATATATACTGGGATTCTTATTTTTAATTTAGGAAATCTAGTCAAGAGAAAGATCTAAAAGCATGAGTTTGAGGGCTGCACCAGGCTGAGAGCTTGTTTGGTATGCAGGAGACCAGGGCTTGATCCTTAACACTCTGTGGTTTCCTGAGCACTTCCAGGAGCACAGAGCCAGGAGTAGCTCCTTGAGCACTGCTGGGTGGAGTCTGAAAGCAAAATTAGATCTATATGAATTTGAAAGAGAAGCAACTTTGATTCAATCTTACCACTTCCAGGCTATTTCAGTGTTCTTGAACCTTCTCACACCTGCAGTCTGGCCCGTGTCCTGGGACCCAAAGTCATAACCAAGGCTGTAGACAAGTGCTTTTACCCTTCCAATGTCGACACCTGTGAGCAATGATTGAAGACCTTTGATCTCTTGAATTCCTTCTGACAATTTTTTTTTGCTTTTTGGGTCACACCCAGCAATGCTCAGGGGTTACTCCTGGCTCATGCACTCAGGAATCACTCCTGGCAGTGCTCGGGGGACTATATGGGATGCTGGGAATCGAACCTGTGTCAGCCATGTTGGCTGCGTGCAAGGCAAACGCCCTACCCGCTGTGCTATCGCTCCAGCCCCTTCCGACATTTTTTAAAAGATCCCCCACCCTACTCTGTTTCTTCCTCTCTCAAGGGAGATCCTGCATTTCTCGACTTTGCTGTGAGCATTAAAAATGCTTATATTTTGAACATTACGTAGAGCCCAGTTCCTAGCACACAGTCAATACCCTTAAGTCCATGGCCTTTGCTCTTGTAATTAATAAGATCAAATTGGATGAAGTTGGACCTCCACAAAGTCAGTTGGTCATGGTGGTAGCACCTAAGAGAATCTTCCCATGAGTCTTTTGAGTCACGGCCGGCAATGCTCAGGGGTTACTCCTGGCTCTGCACTCCTGGTGGTGCTCAGGTGGACCAAATAGGATGCCGGGGATCGAAGCCAGTTCGGCTTCATAGAAGGCAAATGCCCTCCCCGCTGTGCTGTCACTCTGGCCCCTCCCAAGAGTCTCTGCTTCTGTTTGTTCCTGGGGAAGACAAGTATCCCAGGGACCACCTGTAGCCAATGAATCCGCGACATACTTCAGAGTGACCTCGAGAGAGGCCAGTGTGATAGTACAGCAGCATTGCATGCAGCCCACCTGGGTTCGATCCCTGACAACCCATATGCTGCCATCCCCACCCCTTAACATCTCCAGGAGTCATACCCGAGCTGAGAGCCCGGAGGAAGCCTTGAACATCACCAGGCATGTCCCCCCGCCCCCAAATTCCTTCCCCAAGAAGAGTGACGAGAGGAGTTTAGAAGCAGGGACCATCTGGCCAGGCTCCGTGGCAACCCTGACTCACTCCCCCCTCCCCCCCTCTCTCCCTATCAGAAGGCAGGGCGTGCGCCGTGGTGTTCGACTGCAAGTTCATCGAGACGTCGGCGGCCGTGCAGCACAACGTGAAGGAGCTTTTTGATGGTATCGTCAGGCAGGTGCGGCTGCGGCGGGACAGCAAGGAGAAGAACGAGAGGCGGCTGGCCTACCAGAAGAGGCGGGAGAGCATCCCCAGGAAGGCCCGGCGCTTCTGGGGCAAGATCGTGGCCAAGAACAACAAGAACATGGCCTTCAAGCTCAAGTCCAAGTCCTGCCACGACCTCTCGGTGCTCTAGGCGTGTGGTCACCCTGCGTCCCCGGAGGGACATGCTGATGGCCCGGGGACCGCTGATCTATATTAGATTGTACTCTTCTATCCCGGGGGATGTGGGCTCCCCGGTGGCCTCTGGGAACCCGTATGGCAGCCTCACGGGCAGCACCCCACCCGGGAGTGCAACATGTTGGGACAGTTATTTATTTACAGGGAAAGGCCTGACTTGGCGAGCAGAACATGAGACTCCTGCGAGGTGGCGTTCAGCATTGAGAGATGCTTCCTCTCCTTTGAATAGGATTGAAGCCTGCAGGAGATGCCGAGGACCAGAACTTGACGCTATTAAAATCTTGCCCAGTGTTCTGATCTGTGAATTTGCGGCCAATGGTCAATGAGCAGAGACAGGAAGTTGTTCAAACCTTTTGTTCCACGGAGTGAGAACGTCTTCCTCTGTACCATAGACTCATGGAACTAGGATAGGAAATGGGCTCATCATAATTATGACGACTGTTGCTCCATAAAGCTGTGAAAACAAAACAAAACAAAAAAACGATGGACCTTGCTGGAAACTTAAGCTTAGCAAACTGCTTTGTTCAGTGATGTGGAGGACCCAGAAATTTGCAAAAGAGGGAACTGATTCATGCATCACCCATAGGTTCCAAACAGTCATTTCAATTCAACCCCATGTTACCAAGCCACCTAGTCTGCTTTATTATTTTTTAACTCATAGGGCCATCATAAAAACATTTTTTTAAGTCTGTATGATAACTTGGAGTACAAAATGTCAAATTTTTAAGTGTGATTACATGTCTGAATTTTTATATAAGACCCAACATGAATATGCCAAGTACCTGCACACTGTGTACCACTGCTCTGCTCTATTTATTATTTTGCAAAATAATAACCATTTTAACATTTGATAAAACATATTTATGAACCTATTTCTTAAAAAAGTCCATTTTACTACCATTTTCTATCTTTTCAGAATATGCAAGTTTTTAACCTATATATCTTACAATAAAATATTTGTGAAAAAGGGCATTCTTAACTATCATTTTTCCCCAGAGAAGGTAATGGTTTTTGTCTTGATAAGCCTTTCACTGTATCATTCTCAAGCAACATATATATGATTTTATTTCCTCTCCATATTAGCAGAAATCAAGTTGTGATCTGTTTTAGAGTGCTCCTGACATGTCTTCGTTGGACCCATAGTTCACAGTCACGTAAAGGTTATTTTTGGTTGGTATAGTTGGAAACTATTTGGGGTCATCAAAATGTTAGTTACAGCAGCTTTCTTACTTTTTTATTGTTTTGTTAGTTTGGGGGCCACAGCTGATGTTTCTCAGGGGTTACTCCTAGATCTGGACTCAGGGGTTACATCTGGTGGACCTTGAGGACCATCAGGGATGGAGGGATGGAGCCTGTCTCTTACTTTTGTCAGGCAAATCCCCAAGAGAACTTTGTTCCTGGAAGGTTCGTGGTCTTAAACTTGACTCAATCTTTGGAGGAAATGGTAAAAGGATAAGAGAGAGGAGAAAAGGGGGAAACTGGTGGGTTTCAGCTTCCTGTCTGGAGTGGTGACTCTTTAACCTAATTCTCCTCTCTGACATGAATACAGTTTGATACTAATGATACAACACCTGTGCAATGGCAGTGTGTTGCACTTTTGCTGGAACGGAACTCGCTGGGGCTCCCCGTTTCCATCTTGCCTGATCTTGCTGTAGACTTTCTCTCCTCCCTTTATGTGGGGTTGAGGGTGAGTTTCTACCAAGCTGGGCTCCAGCAGGGCTGGGAGGTGCCAGGCCCGCCCCATGATTCTCTCAGACAGGAGCTGAAGCACTTCAGCCATCTTCCCCGGCTCTCATGCATAAACAATTACATTGATTTGCTACTGTTTTGCTATACTCTTAAGATTTTGAGAGTACACCTTCACACCTCTGTAAATGATAAACTTTACCCCTGCCTATTTTTCTGAGTGGGCTGGAGCGATAGCACAGTGGGGAGGGCATTTGCCTTGCATGCGGCAGATCCGACCGACCCGAGTTCGATTCCTCCGCCCCGCTTGGAGAGCCTGGCTAGCTATCGAGAGTATCTTGCCTGCACGGCAAAGCCTGGCAAGCTGCCCGTGATGTATTCGATATATACATACATATATGCCAAACACAGTAACAATAAGTCTCACGTTGTTACTGGGCCCGCTTGAGAAAATTGATGAACAACAGGAGGACAGTGCTACAGTGCTCATATATATATATATATATATATATATATATATATATATATCAAATATATATATATTTCTGAGTTAGTAATCACACACACACACACACAAACACTAAGAATCAGAGACCTTGGTTGCCTGCTTAAAAGCCACGTAGTTTTATAAGTTGTCTCTGCTCAGTTTTGTTTGCTTGCTTGTCCCCTTTCTCCTCCCTCCCTGAGAGCGAAGGTCCCCATCCCTGTGTACCTCAGGTCTCTGAAATGCTCCAGGGAAGCAGTTCCCAGAAGCAATCAAAGTGAAGATCCAGGCTGCCCTGGGCTCCTGAGGTGAATCTGTCTGTGCATACTTGACATTGGTGTGTCTGGAGTAGGTTAAACTGTTGTGATATCACTTTCAATTGCACAGTGAGGTTGCAAAGTGATACCCCATTTTTAATATGAAAATGAAAAATAAATCTTTTTTTTGTGAAAGCCCAACCTTATTTATTTATTTTAATTTATTGAATCACTTTGATAAAGTTACAAGCTTTCATGTTTGGATGTTTGGGTTACAGTCACACAATGATCAAACCCCCATCCCTCCACCAGTGCACATTCCCCACCACCAATATCCCCAGTATCCACCCCCCTTTCCCACCCTCCCCCTGCCTCCATGGCAGACAATATTCCCCATACTCTCTCTCTACTTTTGGGCATTCTGGTTTGCAACACAGACACTGAGAGGTCATCATGTTTGGTCCATTGTCTACTTTCGGCACATATCGCCCATCCCAACTGATTCCTCCTGCCATCACTGTCTCAGTGATCCCTTCTCTATCCCAGCTGCCTTCTCCCCTCTACTCATGAGATAGGAAAACCCAACCTTAGAACGTGTTTCCACTGAGTTCTCCTTTGATGACACAAAGAAACGGACACTGGCATTCACAATTGTCTTTTCAGTAGCTATTCAAGAGGCTGCAAGCCCTGAGACTTGGGAGTGAACCCCACCAGACCCCTTCCTCAGGAACTACTTTCTACAAGCCACAGGCCGTGTGTGTGGGTGGGGAGGGGGCTTTTACTGTATGTCGTGCTATTTTAGGTTTTATGTGGTATTTGGTATGATTTGGTGGGTTATTTTTGAGGTTTAGGAATGCTAAAAATTTTCCATGTAAATGAATGGTAATTGCTTCTTTGCTTTAAAAAGCCTTTTCTTCTTACAAAAGGTTTCACTTCCCTTGGGGCTCCTGAGGAGATGCTTTTTGTGAGGTTAACTTCTAACATACCTGAAAAAGCTCGGTTTTCTTTATTATCTATTTTCCTTTGTGCATAAATTAGAGTCTGTTTTACATGTCTGACTCCCCAAATTAGAACAGGAACCATAATTTCTTTTCCCTTTTTGAGAATGGGGGCACTCTCAGTGATGCTTAGGGGTCACTCCTGGCTCTGCAGTCAGGAATGACTCCTTGCAGTGCTTGGGCGACCCTGTAGGATGAGGACAGAATCCAGTCAGCTGCAAGCAAGGCAAACAACTACCCTTTGTACTATGGCTCTAGTCCTTCTTTGCCATTTTTATTTTTTAATCCCACTCCTCTGTTCATGCAACGCCTGGTGAATGAGAGCTTTCCAAATGCCTTTTCTCCAGTTGGGTTGCTCCTCCCAATCCCAGTGGCCCTGTGTGGGAGAGTGAAAGGATATTTTGGAGCAAACAAGTTTAGGGCAATGAGGGCCTTCTTCAAGTTTGGTCAGATGTGAAGTCTCTTTGCCAGGACTGGTGTCCAGATGTGACGCGAAGTCATTTGTATATTTTAGTATCCAAAACAATTTCATATAAACATAGCTTTAAAAAAATTCCCTGTAGAGCACCAAATGGGGGGTATTGGGAGGATCCCCCCAGGATGGGAGAAGAATGCTGAAAGTAGACTCTAGACCAAACTTGTTGCCACTCAATGCCTCTTTTGTAGGTCACAGCACCCAAAAGGAGAGAGAGAACAAAAGGGAATGCCCTGCCACAGAGGCAGGGTGGGATGTGGAGGATGAGGGGGGTGGGAGGGATACTGGTATTAGTGGAGGGGGAGAATGGACACTGGTGGAGGGATGGGCACTTGATCATTGTACAACGGAAACCCAAGCATAAAAATTTGTAAGTCTACAACTGTACCTCATGGTGTTTCACTAACTAAAAAAATAAATTAAAAAAAAGGTGATCCTACAAGTTCAATGAGAAGGAACTTGCTAATTAAAATATGCTATAACTATAAAAAAAAGTTCCCTATATACCACCAGACACCACGCACACACCCGTATACCACAATTCACATTGCCCTCTACACGCACTGCACAAACACCACATATATACATATAGCAAACACTGTATACACACACATCCCACGTTCCTTTCCACACAGCACACATTCAACATACACATACAGCAGGCACACATTTTACACACACACACACACACACATACACGCACTTTACACATGCTTCATGTATACTATTCCCTGGGCATACAGGTTCTACATTTTTCCTCAAGCAAGTGTTTTTGGTATTTTGAACTTCCCTGGGCAAATAAACATCAGTCTCCTAAGCTCAAGGGAATATTTTGGATCGTCACAATGAACTCCCTGCACGTGAGCTAGCTTTGGACAATGGGGATGGTATTCCAGCCTGGGAGTTGTTTCATTTATGTTCTGTTTTGTTCTGGTTTTGGTCAATAGCCGCTCTGGAGTTAGTCAGACACATGGCCCCAAAAAATGTCCTTATCCCCCCCCCACACTTCTGTTTTCCCAGCCAGCAAACGATAGACCCTACTTCTTGGGGCTGTGGTGAGGTTAATATGAAATCTGCAGAAGCATGGT